CTTTCAACCCTCTCCGTTAGAAAACACAAACGCCCTTCAGAGAAAACGAAATAATAGATCCGTTTTCTCTGAAGCTGATTTACAAACGCACGAGAACAAGCGAACGATTTACTGGTAGATTTAGAGTCGCGCGGGCATAATCGATTATCTCTGGCGGCTCGGGGGTTTAGGTACAATCCATCGCGCGCTCAATGGGCCTTGAAATCGCAGTTTATGTGTCTCGGGCTGAGGAAACAATGGCGACACGGACCCCCGCCGCGACACCAACGGCACTTCTGGCTTGGCGGGGTTCATACGGATTCAAATTAGTGTGGAAAAGGGGGGTGTGGGGGTCAGTCACACACACACACACACACACACCCCACTAATTCGCATCAGCTGGCCCGATCAGCAGTATCTGTGCGCCCTCGGGGAGGGCGGATTGGGGGTGACTAAAGGGATAACGCGGGGTCTGCCGAGTGTACTAACAACTCGCGCGTCTTCTTTTTTTTAAAATGAGCCTTTTTGAAGGGATTAGTTTCCGGAGTATTATTTAGTTTTAGAGGAAAACTTCGAAAAGAAGTGTTGTATTGGGGGTATCTGACGTGAAATTTGTGGGCAAAGCTCCGACCCATTTATCTGTAGGAGCCAGGTAAACGCCAGAATCGAGCAGTAACCTAACGTTTACGGGACACCGCAATTCGGACAAATGACGGGAAACGAGAAGGGGAAAAAACGAATTATTAATTATTTAAATACTGAGATGGGAACGGGAGGAGAAGGAGAGATGGGAGAGAATAAAAGACTTTTCAATTTACAATTGTTCCTCCGGGTCCCGTTAGACTGAGTAATCAAATTAGAGGGTCTACCCCCCAACCCCCTCCTCCCAAAAATCTCTTTACCCCTCCAAACCGTGCGCCACCTGATTTCCTTTTAATTATATTAGACCGCTCTCTCCTCTGTGTCATGTTAATGCCCCGGGGCTCGGCCAGCTGCCGGTCTCCACATTCGAGCCGCTTTCCAAAGCGGGACCGCGGGGAGAGGATGAGACGCAGAGGCGGGGCCCGCGGGCGGCGGGAGAGGAGGGGGAAGCCCCGGTGTCGAAGTTTCGTGTTGCCCCGAAGGAGCGGCTCCGTCAATGGGACACGGGAGACAGGCCGAGTCGGGGCTCTTCCAAGGGTCCCTGTCACATCGGGTCCCCCTCCCCTCTGCCCTCCGGAGGGTGATGAGAGACCATGAAACACGAGGCAACTTGATTTCCCCCTTTTACATTTTTGTCTTTCTTTTCGCTGTTTTTGTTCTATAAACAATCCCCCGTGTTCACCAGAGAGACGTTTTTCAGATTCACAGTCGCCTTTATTCCGAGAAAATCTTCATTGCCAATACCCCCGGGGAGACAGAGCGGTGGGGGTGGGGGGGTGCTTTTTGTGTTTTGTAGGGAACAGCGGAGAGTTTTCATGTGTGCCCGGCTTTGTTTAGTTAACCCGTGTCACAGAGACGATCCGAACTCAATTTTCTGTAACAGGCAACCATTCAGTCAGTGTTCACCTCTGCCTCCAGTACCCCGTGTTTGCTCTGATTATATAGCGCCTTTCCCTGAAGGGCAACGCCGCGACTCTCAGTGTTGAGTTTCCTCGGTCAGCGCTCCAGCGACCGCCCTGGCACCGTCACCGAAAAGTTTTTTTTCCCGGCTAGCTTTAGTGCTCTTGTGGAAATATAGGCTGTTTTTACACCCGTGAAGTAAAACAATAAGACAACTGAAGCTACTGTAAACGCTGGTTTGGTAAGGGAGTTAGGTGGCCTACATCACACCGCGTCAGTTCAGAGCTGTATCAGTAAACGGGTAGTAGGCGTGTAGGCTCTGTGTTTTCGCGCATACAGGTATAACTACCCGCGCGGCGCTGTGCCAAAATACATAGGCTTTCCATTGCACTTGTGCATATGACAAATAAACTGAATTGAAAACGAAAGTGCCAATGCTACTGCACCTCTGGACACCCTCATCCTGTCGTTGGGAGCGGCAGTATCTCGCTCCTCTCTCTCTCTACCCATCCTCTCCTCCTCCATCTCTCTCCTCTCTCTCTACCCATCCTGTCCTCCTCCATCTCTCTCCTCTCTCTCTACCCATCCTGTCCTCCTCCATCTCTCTCCTCTCTCTACCCATCCTGTCCTCCTCCATCTCTCTCCT